AAATAAAAGCACATGAGGGGCCAGGGATTTAGCTCAGTGGTTCTGTCGCCTGCCTTGCAAGCACAAGGACCCGAGTTCGATCCCCAGTACCAAAAAAAAGCACATGAGGCTGGTGATGTAACTCCATGATAGTGCTTGCTTACTATGCACAAGGACCTAGGTACAATACCCTAAACTGCAAACAAACTGTTATGTCTAGGGGTGGACGGCTTGCCATGCCATGTCACTATTTTGCTGAAAACTCAGCTCTTAGTGATCTTAAACCTGGTGTCAGTAAAGAACTTTAAAAAGGCGAAGTTTAGTATAACAAAAGATGGTTTATTTGGGGGGAAAAAAAAGATGGAAAAGAAAGAGGATAGACAGCTACTGTGAGGTGGTAGGGGGCATCAGAGTTGAAGCCCAAGAACCCTTATCTCTGTCTGTTTTTCTTTTTTTTTTTTTTTTTGGTACTGGGGATCGAACTCTGGTCCTTGAGCTTGCGCAGCAGGCAGAGAAACCACTGAGCTAAATCCCCAGCCCTTCTCTGTCTATTTTTGTTGAGGACCAGTGTCTTTCTCATCCCCCAGGTGGGTGCTTATCAATATTTGATTTTTTTTTCTACTCTTTGATCTTAGGCATGTGTACTTATATTTTTTTTGGCCATTTGGTGTTTTTTTGGTTTGTTTTGTTTTTGTCTCTTTGTAATGAATATGTGAAGAGGGAGAGCCTATTAGGAAGACAGTTTATTTAATAATTAAGTAAAGGGGACATGTATACATGTGTGTATCTGGTTAGTACTATATTGATGTTAAAGTGAGAACACACATATATGTGTATAGGGGTATGTGTGTGTGTCTTATATATCAATAGGAGTCCTTAGGTGGCTGTTTCTTATTTCTCTTACATTCCTTCAGGTGGGTAAGGGGAGCTCGCTTTTTTGGTCTTTATGTTTTTGGCTTTTTTGGCATTAACTCCTTTTGATAAATTTTTATAGTAATTGTGTTGTCTGGTTCCTCTCTCAAGTCTAGCTTTTCTCTCCATTGTCTTTTTTGTTTTTGTACCGGGGATCCAACTCAGGACCTTGCACTTGTGAGGCAGGCAGCAGAACCACTGAGCTAAATCCTTGGCCCTCCATTATCTTTTTTTTTGGTACTGGGGATCTAACTCGGGACCTTGCGCTTTCGATGCAGGCAGCGGAACCACTGAGCTAAGTCCCCCACTCTCCATTGTCTTTTTAATTGTCCTAACTGCAGTCTTATCTGTGAAGACAGAAACTGTTTTTAGTAAGCTTTTCTATGGATCTATAAAGCTCAACAAGGCCTTTATCTTACCTTTTTTTTTTTTAACCTATGGACCCCTGTCTCTATAAAACAAAATCTAGGCCCGGGGATTTAGCTCAGTGGTTCCAGCGCCTGCCTCAAAAGCACAAGGTCCCGAGTTCGATCCCCGACATGGAAAAAAAACCAAAAAAACAAAATCTAAAACCCTCAAGAAACCCATGTACAAGAAGTGGGGAAGTTATTATTCTCATGTCTAGGTTGTATATGAATAAAATGATAACAAATTTAAGCAATTTACCCAAAGTTTCTAGACTAGTATATAATGGAACCAAAACTCCAATCTGGTCTTTGGAGTTTTTGCTCATTTTTGTTTTGGTTTTTGCCATGCTAGGGATCCATCCCAGGGTCCTATACACATGCTAGGCAAGCCCTCTACCACTGGGCTTTTTTTTCTTTTGTTACCAGGGATCGAACTCGGGTCTTTGCGCTTGCAAGACAGGCGGCGGAACCACTGAGCTAAATCCCTAGCCCTTATCTCTACTTCTTTACAACAATGCAGATGAAGACACAGGGGCTCAAAGAAGCTAAGCACAGTAAATGGTAGAGCCAGGGCTCAAATCCAGCTTTTCTTGTTATAATACATTGCCTTTCTCTTTATCTTTTGTGTATTCCTTAACATTTACTGAATACTTACAAGGTGGACTGGGGATTTAGCTGAGTGGTACCAGGCATTGCTCTAACTTCTTCACACAGATTATCTCATTTATTCTCACAAGAATTCTCACCATTATTCTTTATTTTACTCAATCTAAAAATGGACAACAGATTTGAATAGACCTTGAACACCAAGCTTTTATGCTGACCTACTTCCTTAGCACCATCCCCCTTTCTTTCTTTTCATATTAGAGACAGGATCACCTAAATTGCTAAATTGCCCAGACTGGGCTCATCTTCCTCCCTCAGCCTCCCAGAGTGCTGGGATCACATGTATGTACCACTACAGTTGGCTTTGAGCTTTCTAAAGAGTCCATGGGAAGACAAGGCACAGAGGAGAACCATCCTACCAAAGTGCTCATGGCTAGGAAATAGAAAGGCCAGGTGCAAGGTCTCGAGTTCGATCCCCACTACCAAAAAAAAAAGATGAGTAATAAGTAGAAAGGCCAGGATTTGAATAAGGCTGTTTGACTTCAGAACCTGTACCTTTAAGCACTGCATTATAGACCTGTCACTCCCACCCATGTCCATTCCACCTCTAATGGCTATATAGAGCCACTGAACAAGAGATTAGTGATGGCAGGTAAGGCAATACTGGCTGATTTGGGACTGGCATTTTTAGTGGGGTTTTTTTGTTTGTTGGTTGGTTGGTTGGTTGGTTTGGGGGTTTTTTTTGGTACCGGAGATTGAACTCAGGACCTTATGCTTGCGAGGCAGGTGTCAGCACCACTGAGCTAAATCCCCAGCCCCCTGGCATTTTTGATCTCTAGTGTTCAAGGCTGATTATTTTCTAGTTAGGTCTTACTTTCAGGGACATAGGGAATTTTAAAAAGTTGATCTCATGGCCAGCATGGTGGCATACCTATAATATCAGCACTTGCAAGGATCAGGAGTTCTAAGCCAGCCTGCACTACATAATGAGACTTTGCCTCAAAAGAAACAAACAACAAGGTCATTTTATGAAAGTTGAGAGTAGAGTAGTTGTTACCAGAGGCTGGGAAAATGAGGGTCAAGAAGAGAGGGGAAAAGATTGGTCAATGATTCTAAATTACAGTTAGATAGCAGAAATGAGTTCTAGTGTTCTATTGTACAATAGGGTGACTATAAATAACAATAATACACTGTTTGTTTTTTCAAAAGCTAGAAGAAAAAGCTGGGTGTGGTGGCCACGCCTATAATCCCAGCACTTGGGAGGCTGAGGCAAGTGAATCACTTTCAGTTCAAGGCCAGCCTGGGCTACACAGTGAGTACAAGTACAATTATTATTTTTTTAATGAGCATGGTGCACACCTATAATCTCAACTGCTCAGGAGGCTAGGGTAGGAGGATTGTGAGTTTGAGGCCAGCCTGAGCAATTCAACCAGAGACTGTCTCAAAAAAAAACAAAACCTAGTCATGGTGGCACACACTGGTCATTCCACCGCTTGGGAGACTGAGGCAGGAGGATCATCTGAAAGCCAGCCTGGGTATACAGTGAGTTCAAGGTCATCCTGGACTACATAGTGAGCCTCTGTCTCAAAAAACCAAAACAAAAAGGGCCAGGGATTTAGCTCAGTGGCACTGTACCTGCCTTGCAAGCACAAGGTCCTGAGTTCAATCCCTGGTACAGAAAAAAAAAAAATTAAAAAAAGAGGACGAGGCTAGGAATGTAGTTCAATAGCTCAGTGGTAGAGCACTCGCCTTGCATGCATCCTTGGGTTCAATCCCTAGAACCAAAACAATTAAAATTAAGATTAAATTGACACACAAAAATCAGAGTAAGCATAACTATCACCTTAAACATTTATCATTTCTTTGTGGCAAAACATTCAAATTCTTTACTTTTACTTATTTATTTATTTTTGGTACCAGGGATCAAACTTGGGACCATGTGCCTTGCCTTCGAGCCAGGCAGCAGAACCACTGAGCTAAATCCCTGGCCCTCAAATTCTTTCCTTCTAGCTTTTTTTTTTTTTTTTTTTTTTGAGACAGGGTCTTGCTATGTAGTTCCAGGCTGGCCTCCAACTGGCAGTAATCCACCTGCATTAGCCTCCCAAGTGCTAGGATCACAGGTGTCCACCAGCACATTTCTAATTTTCTTTTTAAAGTCACTTTCCTTGTCTTCTACTGGTATGTTTTTAGTGTTGAATTTCTATTACTCTAAGTTTCTTTATCCTTGACTTCAAAAATTGCCTGTAGTTTAAAAATATTTGTTCCTTACCTCTTCATTCACTCATTCCTTGACTCAGCCACCTACTGAGCATTTTTTCTACTTTTAAAGATTTTAATACACTTCACATCAGTCTGTCTGGTTCATTTCAGCTCCTTTACTGCCATACCAGGGGCAGGTATGGCTTCAGTTTCTCTGCTTTCTCCTTAACTGTGTTAACCAAGGTGTAAAGATACCTGCTATATCGAATTTTAAATTTCACATTATTTTTGTTCTTTATTTGACAGATTTGGCATCCTTCCGTCTAGCTCTTAGCAGAAAATCCTTGATTCCCTCAATTTTTTGAGGCCTGGGGAGGAGGTGTGCGTGGACTGATGCCGCCAGAGAGACACAGCCCAGTGAGCATTTTAAAAATATCTACTCTATGAAAGGCACTGAGGCTAGAAAGGGTTTAAAAATTAAATGGACACATTCTGTCTTAAAGAAGCTCACAATCTTCTTTAGCAAAAATGCAGATCACAGAGTTAAATTTAAATCTCAGATAAACTAAGAATAATTTGTTAGTGTAAGTATGAACTATGCAATGGATACGGTGACAGGGAAGGACTGTAATGTAAAAGAACTTAAAAAGTGCTTGCAATGTTTCCTGGAAAGGGTGTCTAAATTCTGATTAGACTGACCTAGGAAAACTGCAGGCCCAGCGAGGCTTGCCCTAAAGGGAAAAATCCTGTTTTGGTTTGGAGAACAATCCGTCGGTCGGCTCTGCCACTTTCGACCGCTAGGTGGCGCAACAGACGCATGTACTAAAACCATAGACAAACAGATGACTTTGCCGCCCAGAGTGCCCAGAGAAGCTTTATATGGGACGCCTACTCTTTCCTGCGCCCAGAGAGCCTACGCTGGAAGAAGCATAACGAGCGGATGAACAGAGGTCTCACGATGATAAAACCAAGTCTCGCGATTCTTTGTTTTTCTTTCGCCTAGCGACTGACAACTGGAGAGCTGCTCCAAGTCGGATCCTTGAAGTGTCCTGGCCTGAGACTGGAGAGGGACCCCAGTCCTAGGCTGGGGTTCTTTCCATTTAGCGGAGACGGATTCAGAGGGGCTCCAGGTAATTCGTACTCACCCCACAGAAAAGGAACTGCCGTCTGCCCTCTCAAGAGGACTCCGCTTGACCTACTCTCAGACACCTCTTCCCATCTCCATAACAGCTCTTCTCTCCTTCCCCCTCCCACCACCAAATTCCTGTTTCCTTTACTCTCCAGGCAACTTAAGTGGAATCCGATCAGCAAAACGAGTGGAGATGGGTGATGCTTTAGTATTACTGGGTGAGACTCAGAGAGAGCCTGAGGTTTACCCTGTCTTCGGTACCCCGCCCCCCCCCCCCAGCTCTTACTTCTAGTTTCCCCTAGAAATCCCAGCAGCTTTGAGAAAATTGACCTTCATAGGAAGACAGCTTTAGGGGAGCCGTGGAGTAGTTGACTGTCGTTTTTCTTCATAATTCCCAGCCAGCCTGCCAGCAGTTCCTCAATAAAAGCTGCAGCAGGGGCCGGAGATTTAGCTCAGTGGTTCCGCTGCCTGCCTTGCAGGTGCAAGGTCCTGAGTTCGATCCCCGGTACAAAAAACAAAATTTGTTAAAAGCTGCAGCAGAATGGTTTAACTGCTGGACTTGAGGCCAAGAAACCTTCAGGAAAGTTTGGATGGGGATAAAGGTTTTATGGAAAACTGGTGTCTTAGGTGAAGAAGATGAATCCATGCTTCTGGTAGAATGCTTAATATATGTCCCATCATAAGAGCTAAGCAATCACCTCCTTTTGCTAGACCAAGATTGTTGAGAACCAGACATATGATGAGCGTCTAGAGATTAACGACTCTGAAGAGATTCCAAGTATTTGTACTCCAACCCCAGGACACCGAGGTAAGAGGATGAAAAGGACAGAGAAATGGCTCCCAAACAACGAGCAGGATGCATACGTGTTTGACTTCAACAGGGTCAGGGTTTATAATAGCAAATGTTGATTTTCATAGTCAAGTTACTTCACTTGTCATTGTTTCTGTTCTGTTTAAGGAAGGAGGGAGAAATCACAGCTTGCCAGATTGCAGGATCCTCCTTCAACCCAACAATGTTACCTTTCCCATTACTGCTCTGCTCACAGTCTGCAAGGGGTTCCTGGGTTTTTTGCTTTTTTTGTTTGTTTGTTTGTGATGCTGTGATGTCTTTGTTCCTGCATGACAGGCAAGCCCTCTTCCACTGAGCCACACACCTAGTCCCTGTTTTGTTGTTGTTTGCAGTACTGGAAATTGAACCCAGGGCCTTCCAACTGAGCTACCTCACCTGGGCTCAAACTTGCCATTCTCCTGCTCCAACCTCCCAGAATGCTGGGATTGCTGGTGTGTGTAGAGTGGGTTGAAGGGTACAAAAGAGAAAGTGGGGAAGAATTGGCAGTGGCTCAGTAGAGATGATGATGGTTTGGACTGTGGCAAGGAAATCCAGAATAGAGATCAGAGGGAAATGCAAGATAGATTATTGTTATAGAATCATGGGGCTGGGGATATATAGCTCAGTGGCACCATGTCTGCCTGGTAAGTGTGAGGTCCTGAGTTCAATCCCTGGTACTGGAAAAAAAAAAAGAAAAAGAAAGAATCATTAGCTTGCTGGTGCATTGGATTTGACTTTTTGTTGTTGTTGTTTGTTTTTTGAGATGGGGTCTTGATATATTGTTCAGGCTAGTCTTGAATTCACTATGTATCCCTAGCTGGCCTCAAATGTCCAGTGATCCTCCTGTCTCAGTCTTCTGAGTGCTGGGATTACAGGTGTGCATCACCACACATGGCAGGATTTGATTGCTGAGTTGACACTTAAAGATGACGCTTGGGATTTTTGTTTGTTTATTGTGGTAAAATACATATCATAAAATTTATCATTTTAACTTTTTTTTTTTTTTTTGAGATAGGGTATCTCTATGTAGTTCAGGCGCTTGCACTGCAGGCAGTGAAACCACTGAGCGAAATCCCCAGCTATTTTAAGTTTTAATAAAGTCAAATCTCTCACTTTCCCATTGTGGATTC